AAGTACATGTGGCTTTCCTGGCTTACGCCGCTTTGTGCGCGTTTTCGTTCGTCGTTTCGTTTCGTTTTATCAAAGCTGAGCAAGGAATATATACTCAACCAGTTTAAGATCAAATAATCACCAGCGACTACATAAACTTATATTGAAGTTAAAAGGCGTCCTACTTCATGAAGGGGCTAAAAAAACCTGCTAAACAACTTTATTGCGTGATGAAACTTTTGCCAGGAACCACCCTAAGTATGTACAATTGGTGATATTTTAGCTGGTAACCCGTTTTCACACATGAATTGTTTTCCAGACTAGCAAATTTCCGCGTTTTTGACACTTTTCTCGCACATTGTCTGACATTTTGTTTACAAATCTTCTTGCTCTCTTTTCCAATGAATTCTTCATTAATGGATGTTCATTGGTACATTCACCAATGAAGCTAGCTGTGAAAATTGAATTCTCATCTCCACGAGAAATGCCCTTCAATCTTGCGCTGTGATTTTTTTTTAACAGCCGCGACGCATGGCGTTTTTCCCCCTGGAGTATTCACCGCCCGTGCTTCATTCCCACAGTATCTTCTGGTTTACGGTACAAAGACTTGACGTCTTTTGACTTCCGCGTTTGACCTATCTCAATTGTCAAATATTAGAAATTACCACTCATCAAAAGCATCAATTAATTAACAGTCTCTCACGGGATGAAGAAAGATATACGTATGTGTCTTATCTCACACTGTAGTGTTTTTAAAGTCACGTTAGTGATTCTTTTTATTAAACAGCCAAGCACATTGAGGCATCACGCGCACCCGGTTTCCTTTAACGGTAATATTGCTTTTCTGGGATCATCGACAAAATGCAGAACCAAGGAAAAACCGTCAGTACCAGTCTTTTAACCCAGTTGCACCATACCAATAAACCTAATACCGTATATTGATTTCTACGGGGGAGAAATAGAGCAATTGACTGAAATAATTAAATGACTAGGGCCTGAATGTAATGGCTTGCGCCTTAATCAGAGCTCATGCTTCGAAGAGTGAGGAAAAAGGCGCACTACCTAGCTCCGATCCATTTCATCAGGGGCTTGTGTCTGTAAAATCCCTTTTCATTTCGGTAATTTCTAAAGTTGCAGTGATGTCGTCTCATTCGAAACAAGGAACTGAATAGATCTCATTGGTACATCCAACAAGCTAGCCCAGTAAATGGGCAATAAGAACTCCAGTAAATTAACCAAGTGGTCATTTTGAGGGGCACAAAATGTCTTTCGTCTTTGTGTCGGAAATGAGTTTCAAGAGCTACGCCCATTAATTTAAATGCCGCTCGACCTTTTATTGCCCACAATTCGTATGGGCGGCCAGAGTTTACAGAAAGTTCGTCTTCTGTTGACTGGTGATGTGTCTAAAAGTGCACATCAACCCTACCAGGAGACGGAGATTTTCATGAATTTTTGGTATTAGTGTCGAGATTTTATAACACGTTGTGTGTTTTCTTTTGGATTTGCATCGATGGTCAGCTAGAGTTTTTCTACCACCGGCAGGCAGAAAGGACAACTTGTAGATTGAAAACGGTCTGTTGACATGTGTGCGTGTGCAGGCGTGGCATACTTAGTGTGGACCTTGTTGAAGCAGAGTTTACGAAAACCGAGATTTAGACAAGTTCTTCATAGTAGATTCCCAGTTGGTCATTGGTATCATGACTGTATGATGGAGAATAAATAAGAAATGTACAATCGAAAATGTAAATAAAAGCACTTTTGGAAAGGGTTGGCTTCAATTTTGCGCTCACGAAGTTATATTGCGAAAGTTTATTTTGCCTTTTAGTTCTGGACTTCCCAGAAATATCCAGTTGGCCATCTGTGAATGTGAACAGCTCTGGAAGCGCGCCAAAACTTTCTTCGCCTAATCTGGTCAGGGAGGCGAAGCGCGTCGTAAGGCAATCAGACGGAACGTGGAATGCAGTTAACGCGGGACGCACTAATAACCTGTGTAAAGAGTCGTGTGCTTAATTTGGCCAATTTGCCCGAGCGTCATTGTGAAGATAGCCGATCGCAGCATGCGAGCGGCTCGGCGTGGCGCCCGTCCATTCCAATTTGATTAGATCGTGTTGACCGCGCGCTTGCGTTCCACTATATACAGGAATTTAAACTTTTTTTTATCTTTTTTGTTGTTATTCCTTCTTACATCATCATTCTTGGGTTGGAAGGGGATGGGTGGTGACTGTAATTTAGTTTGGGGATTTGTCAAAATGAGATTGCTTTCAATCGAGAATGGCATTATTTTGATTAACGTTATTTGTGCGGTGTTTCACCGATTGGATAATTGTCTTCAGTGGAAGGGCGTGGCATTGAGTAGACGAAGGCGGTATGTTTTATAAGAAATGCTAAAATCTATGCTGGTGTCTTTTTTTTACCCTCCACGGTCGTGTCTTTGAGGTGGCACAATAAAGGATTTTGAGAGTTAAAATCGCTAACCTTCGGGTCTGCCCCAAATCCGAATCTGACTCCGAGATTCCGTCAACGTTACGGCCCCAACCCTGACCTCCTGTTACGCGCTCCACATTCACGCCGTTCAGAATTCGTGTGCATACCTTGATCCTCTTTGCGAATTCAAGGGGAACTAATTCTTGCCGGAGGCTACTTCCGAAGATGTCGCCACGAGCCCATGGGGGCCCCCATACACGCAAGAGAAGAGCCGCGCGCAAAGCCAGCCAATCGTCTATCCAGCCTCATTTATAATTCTACCTGAAGTCGATGCCCCAGTTGCAACAACAAGAGCCCATTAGTGTCTGGTGATCTTGAACTCCAACATGCCCGATCCAGTTAAGGTATTTCTTAATGACGAATTTGGAAAACAAGATTTGGGGCGCAAGTCGGAAGCTTCCATACAACTAGGTTGCAGTGAGCTTGGTCACTCACGCGGAATGCTCCGCAAATGCGATGCGATGGTGGTACAGTTGGCTTTGAAATTCTTCCAGAAAATGACTGTCTCTATTTCAATATTTTATGTGCTTTCTGCCAAAACAGCCGGTGTCTCTGAATCATATAACCAGCTTAATAATTAACCCAGAGCAAAACTCGAGATGTAACGACACGCAGCTTTCACAGTAATTTGTTGAAACGTAGTTCAACAAATAGAAAAGAATTAAAGCAAACCGTTTTTTTTTAAGTTTCAACATTTATTTAATAGGAATCCGTTTGTTATCAATACCTGACTATACAGACCAAAATGTCTCTGTAATGATAGTTATGCTTTTATTGCGGTAGGCATTTCCTTCTTATATTCATTAAAATTATTTAAAATATATATTTGATGAAATGTAAACACTTCAGTCAGAAATCAAACAATTGTCTGGTATGAACCTGCTTGTGCAGGGAACCTACAGGACCTCTGTTTTTTCCCAAATACCCAAGAAACCTCAATTTTCTTGAGCCCTGCCCTGTGACATTGTTTCTCCGTTATTGTGTGGGTGTTGAATAATGAGGCATTCTTCCGGAAGTTTAAATCGATAGATCAGGGCCAAATTTGTAGAAGAGTGACGATGAAATGTTTGTCAGACCGAGGTGGATTGGTCATTGTTTGGCGAGTGGGAGAGATTGATTCCTTTTGTCCATTCTCAGTCGCGCCGGCTACGCAGGGCCCCCAGTAAAGCAGATTTCCGTCTGGGGAGCGGGGGCGGAGGTCGACCATTCTCAAGCCTTCAAGTACATCTTGGCGGCCCACTTTTCAGCAAGGAGACCAAGCAATCACCGCCTCAACGTGTCGACGTCCTCGTCAAATGAGACAAATTTCAATCGATCACTTACACCCTAGCCTACAGAGTTGAACGGTTGTTGTTCAACTTCTTTGTTCAGTATCTGTGAAAACATCACTTGCCAACGCTTTTCAGCCGTCCTCCACAAAAGTAAGGCAAACTTTACCCGGAGGACCAGTTATTTGACAAATGAATACATCATTAAAAGAAAGGCCCAACTCCACCATCTTGGCCTTGGCGAGTTAATTGATTTCCTTTGCAACTCCTTAGAATATTCAGGGTTTTTTCTTTTGAACTCAAAAAAAGGTTTTGTTCAAGTTGGGCGTTTCTCCCAGTTAGATGTTCTATTTCATATCTGTTTCATATCTGACCATCCTTTTTTCGGACATGTGGTTATCTGAAGTTTGAATCCTGCTTTTCGACAAAAATATTCGCAATCAATTTGTCGAAGCCCTTATTTTGTGCAGGTTTCCCAAGAATAATTCTGTATCAAAATTTCTTGATTCGAACGCCAATAGTGGTCATTATTTTATTTTGTACGGGGAATTTTCGTATTCCAGACGAAGTGATTTCCAGCTCTTCTCCTGATTGACGGAGGGAGCATTTTTGTTCGGTTTATCAAGGAGTCTTACTCCAGCGATGGTTTAATATATATATCCGATCGATCCTGGACAAGGCTGGCCTTGTTGATTGCGTGTCGCCATGATCACACTTGAAAAGGCATCCCTGGTTGTATAAGTCCTCTCCAGCGGAGGCGGTTTCCCTTCCCGTCTTCAGTCTATAATTTCCGAATAATCATGGCCCACTGTTCCTTAAAAGAAGACGGGAATGTAGATCCTACTCTTGGAGCAGTAGACGATGTGTATTCTACTCTAAACCAGATCTGTGTTTTCATTTAAAGTAGAAAGATTGCGGATATATCAAGGGGTTTGTTTCAATCATGTAAAATTCACGAGTCAAATTTGCCTCTTATCGTTCTGATAACATTTTATTCGCATATTACGTGTTACGTTAGGGAAACAGATTTAAGGGTAGAAAGCAGTCTATTGACGAATTTATACCAGATTTTTGGAGCAGTCTTGAAAGCCGGGAGGAAACTTGTAAGAAATCAAAGTATATAAGTCAGGCAGATATGGAAGATAACACTGGTTAGACACAAATCCCTACAAACTTCAGAAAATGTTCCGGAAAGCATAATTTCCGTTAGAACCGGAACTTGTCACAGTTGTTAATCATTCAGAATTATTTTTATTTGTAAATTGCCATAGATGCGGACGAAGCCTGGGATGACTCGAAGGAGGACGGGGGGAAAGTGCAGTCGTAAAGTAAGTCAGTTATTTACCTTGATGCAGCGATGAAATGAATTCACATGCTGATTGGTTTAATGTTTGGAGGAGTTCGCCAGAAGGTGAGATGATTCCAGCGCTCTGTTTTCCGTCGTATTGGCGTCAGCTGGATCCATGACGTCACATTCTGATCAAAACAAGCTGACGGCCGGGTCCGCCAGAACACGAACCCAGGAAACTAGTGATTTTCCTTGAATTAGAGTTGTTTCGTAGTTTTAATGTCAGCCTGCAAAGTGTGTACGATAGCAGTTTGGATGGTCTTTGGTCATTTCGAAGTACAAAAATGTACTGTGGCTGTTTCCGCATAAAAGCTCTTCAGCTTCATTAAGTTGATAAATCTCCGTTATTATTGGGGTATGATATAGCATTTATCAAAACAATGCAAAGGGTTATGACTTATCGCCTGAACAGCAATCAGGAAAGCTACCTTGTTTGAGAGTTCATTTCAAAAATTGGCTTATTGGCGAAGCTGACAATGCCAAAACAGAAGAGAAAAATTCCTAAGTCGTCGACGTGCCCTGACAATTAATTCCTTCGGGCTGCCTGTGTTTTGCCTGGGCAGACCCAGCAAATGAGAAGGCCCTCTAAATCATTCGGACTTCAGCAACGAGCTTGCCGACATTTTTGGTCCGTGTTTTCCCCGGGAGAGGGGAGAGAAGTTGGACCCAGGGGAATGTTGAGAGAAAAAATACGCCGCGGTTTTTGTCTCATTTGTCAGGGCTCGCCAAGACCGGCGAGGAAGTTATTTTCTCCGTCTCAACCCCCCCCTCCTCGTTCGGAGGTGTATTTGATTGGAATCGAAAGAGAAGGGTAGTGGGGTGACGCAGCATCCAGCGATATTGCTCGGCAGATGAGACAAGGATGCCGAGGTGCTTCTTGTTTTACAAGTGGCTCAGAAATACCAGCTAAATTAAATCAGTGCTGATGCCGCTCGTTCAGTTTGATTGACCCGTAAAAAAAAACTATATCAGTCCCTTCTAAAATCGTGGATGTGAGATTTGTTCGTATTCTTATGAATTGCATTAACACTCATAAAGCTCCTTGTTTGGTGTAAGCCTCGGTCGAGGTCTTTTCATGAGCATGTTGTGTGTGCTGTTTCGAGTGTTTAGCGACGACTTGTGTGGAATACGTTTGTATTGATGTAATGATTTCGGTTTTAAACAGATTTTTGTATTTTGCAGAAATGGTAGTGTTACGGCTTCGGGTGTAATAGTAGGAGCCACGGCATAGACAGTGTCCGTCGTTTTTCACTGGCATCTTGTAATCAAGGATGCCGACAAAGTGAAAGATTGTCGTCATGTGGCCGGATAGCAGAGTTACCTGATCCACGGAACGCGCGGTCCAAAGGTCAGTGGTTCAAATCCCGCACCTGCCCAAATTCTCTGCTCAATCACATATTTATATCAAGGTAACCTAGTCCGTTTCTTGTGGCTAATTTTGAAGCGTAATAATCACACTTTTACAAAAGTTTACTGAGAACTAATAAATAGCTCTCAGAGTAGTCACATGGCACTTACACCCACATCCTGTCATTGACTGTAATCTTAAAACTGACATCATCATAAATCTTGATTCAAGCAAGCGGTGCTTCTTTATCTTTTTGATGGCGAGCCAAGATTCCGCCTGAATATATTGGTGTCATTCTCATGCTAGATCCTTCCGTAATTTTCATCGTAAACATCGTAAACAATCCAACCACAGAAGCATCATGTTTGATTTCATGCTTAAAATAAAACCGAAGACGCCTACCTCAATTTGGCCTAGGTTGTTACAAAAGAAAATCATTTGGGTAAAAACTTAGAAGCTACTAATCAGGCAGGGGGAAGTAGAAATGGGTAGTGAGCAAGCAAACGGGCAAGGAACGGAGCAAGCAAGAGAGAGAGACAAGTAGCTGTGACTAGGGGGGAAGCAAGTAGGCCAGCAGTTAAGAAACAAAGTAAACATGCTGGACATTGATCAAGAAAGCAAGCCAGGGCCGTTTTCCAATACTCAACTTCGTTTCCGTCTCAGGCTTCATCCCCGAAACCAATCCCCGATTGTGGGCCCAAGGCGTTTAAATAAAATTGGATTTCTGTAATTTTTTACTCTCTTGCATCATATTTGAAGTTTTGTGGCACTATTAGACGAATTATTGCGCTTCCAGCTTCAAAGTCAGGTACATGTAGTAAAAAAAACAGCTGAAGCCTGAGACGGAGTCGAAGTTGAATATTGGAAAACGGTCCAGGAAGCAAATAGGCATGCACAACACACAACAGTAAATCAATTGACTAAATTCTCAGAAACCAGTCATTGATATTATATTCTCCAATTTCTGATGGTCCTACCTTTTCCAGCAAGAGACACTCAAATGTCTTTTTAATCATAAAGTAAACGGGGAGGAATGAAGGAGACAGTGGAAAATGTTCTGCGTAGACCAGATTCCCTGGCCCGGGATTATAACTGTGGCCCCTGAAGGTGAGCTGTGAGCGGTGGGCGTGTTTCCCACCCGCCCACCCCCTTCCTTCCAAACCGACAGTTTCATTCCGCGTCCGCCACCGGGGAGATGGAGTGTGCGCCAACTTTCTCCTTCAGCATCACCCGGGAAGCTTGTTTGCTCTCTCTATTGTCCTGACACACAAAATCAATTAACGTCGGTCCAATTGGTAGGGCATTTCGTGGGTGTCGTGCCACCACTTCGCTCTCGGCNGTTCCTCCGAACACCAGGCATGCTTGATGGTCTTTTTTTCTCTCTATTTCTCTTCTCGACCGCACTTCTGAAATTTCTCTCACGTCAAAAATCTGAGGTAAAATTTGGGCCGTTTGGTGTACGCAGTTAGCACACTTGGTTACAACGCAGTTCCTCGCAGCGTGACGTCTGTAACTTCATACTGAGCTTGAAGTAGTATTTTTCTGATTGGAAAAAAAGAACACTTTTCGGTGTTGAAATGGTCTGAAGTTGATGTTCAGATGTGATGTTTATTGATTTGGCGCCAGAGGGATCCCAAAGGCCCGCAGTACAGACTGAGATTTCAAGTTCTCCCTTGGGTGTTAACGTAGCAGGAATTCCTTTTCTTTCAATACATGCATGGATGTTGAGTGTCTCTGGCCGCAGTACCCGTTTACCAATAAAGAGTCCATTGCGAGAACAGTTGGGTAGTCCTGGTCCGTTCTTAGCACCTGCTGCTGCAGATATAATTGTTTATTTTTCTCTTTGGTTATTCTGGGGAGTAGGAGAAGGACGGTTGGGATTTGGAGAGAAGCGTTTTGAGTGGATGTTTGCCTGGTCACTGGAGGAATTTATCAATACAGTCCTGTTACACAGTAAAAACTGGGATGTTAGATTTAACACCCCCGCTGTTATCAGGGGACTACACCAACACTCTCACTGGTGTTAAAAATTTTGGTGTTATTGGGTGTTACTTTTAACACCCTCAAGTGCATTGTAACACTTATAGGTGTGTAAATAACACTGGCGGTGTTAAGTAACACCCTATGGAGTGGTCATCTGATAACACCAAAAAGTGTTGATTTCAACTCCAGCGTTATTGCAGTGTATTTCTGTCTGGTTTCTTTAAAGTCAAAGAAGTTGTATTAAGATTTATTTGCCGATTGATGGTATCTTGATGGTTTATTCCAAACGATTTTGCATACTTAGCGGATATTTCTGCGTGTTTGCTTTTATGTTCTAATGGCTGTCGTTGACGTTGTGGTTGTAGATTGACCTCCAAAATCTGATTGAAATCGACCCATGGCGATGTGTGTCCTTTGTGGATGTCTTGGACAGAGAGTCCCAAAAGGGAGAATTATGTAGGTTGATGTTCATCAAATACGATAGAAGCATTTCCTTGTGTCGGTTGGCTACTGCTAACGTAGGATGTCTTTCATCCACTTTCTCAATTTCGATTTTTCCCCTCAAGATCACATTGTCCATGCATCACGTTCTGCGCACTCAGTGTTTGCTTGAATTAAATTTTGAGATTTTTATTAAGTGGAAGCTGACATTAATTTACTTTGACGCGACGAATGGGACAAAACGGCGTCAGAATAAAGTTCGTTCACGTGTTTTCGTTCTGTGCGCGATATAAAGAGCATCGTATGAACACCACATGGCCTCATGATGCGCATGTATCTTGAAGACAAGGCAGCGCGCCCTTGCAGTAAAGAGACTCTCACGGGAGTGGCACAGGCCAAATCAGTTCAAATCAGGATGGCCATCGTTGTTTGTCACTGAACTCCTGGACGATTATTCATTCGTCAACTGCTTGAAAATAAGTTCATGAGCCTCGAGCTGGACCAAGAGAGGGCGCAATTTTCTAAGTAATGGGGGCTCCTTTAGTCGGATTTGCACTTCGCTGGTTCACGAACGACTATGCACGCAATAAGGTCCCATCGTTACCAACAAAATGGACACTCCTGACCAACACGGCTCTTTTCAACCGATGAGGGGGTGTTTCTGCTCGAGGCCGATAGTGTGATATGAGTATTGTGCCATTATGAAATGGGGAGAATTTTGTCTAGATATATTGCAGTTGTTTAATAATTCTTTCTAACACACCTAGATCTCCAGTTTCCGCTGAGCTTGTAAGACTGGCGCATAATATAGGGTTGGTGAATAGGTTGGTGCAAAAAAAGGTTTTGAACCGCCAGAAGAAAAGGGTTGAGCTACCAATAATGCTGACCAAAAATGAAGTCATTTTTATATTGAGATCAGTATTGGGAACGTGGGAAGTTGATGCATGCATAAAGTAAGTAACGAGTGCCCGATTAAACAGCCTGATTGTCCCCATGCGAATCCAAAGTTGTAAATAGCCAAAATTTTGCCGGGGCAAGTCAACTTCGTTCCTGGGCGAATGCTCCATTGAACTTTAAGTGTGAGAATTCAATTTGAACACTAATCATTGTCTTCTGGCGAGTTTCCATCACACCATCCGTCGTCTGACAGTCAACAGAGCCTCATACCCGGCATTTTTTTCCATCCTTGTAATTATTTCTCAAGTTGAATATGACACCTTGCGGACTTGAGAGGGAAATTGAAGCGCACTTGATGCGGGCGGACTTAATGGGAAATGTTCACGCATATAAATGAAGGACACGCTGCTCCAGACACTTCAGCTGGCTCAGCCAATCAGCTTGCTCGGCGTTAAGCTCGCATCGACCAATCAAAACGACGAGACGCCTCCGCATTTAACAAGACTGGAGACGAAAAGTTATGCGGATGCGTCATTGCAGGACTGCGCCTGTGATCGGACAGATTTCCGTCTTTCTGATCGTCTGTTGCCCTCCGATTGGCCAATACAAGGCGGTTAATTGCCGGCCCTGGTGGCTACCACATTGCCTTGGCGCGCCATTTGTGGTAACAATTAACAGCACGCCGTCAGATTCACACCCTTTATTAGCCCAGACGTAATTAGTATTTGACTAAGTTTTCCAACAAACAATACCCCCCGCTTTTCTTTTCTTTTTCCTTCTTTTTTTTGGGGGGGGGCTGTTGATAGTAGCTATTAGTACCTGGCCAGGTAAGCTGAGCAAATTTAGGGAATCAATTTCTCTAGCCTAAGAATCCCGTCAACAGAAACAGATCGGTAATTGGTTTTGGTATATTACGTGGGTGTTGAATTACAAGCGTGTCTACTATTCATCATCCATAAAGAACCCCATAGCTATGTGCGTATTGATGATTTTCATTGTCTTGCACCGGGTAAATCTCAACTAATACTATTGCCGGCTGATGGTTGATATAGTCGTATGCTAGGATATTTAAAGAAAACTGACCAGACTTTGGGAAAAAAGAAATTAAGAAGACGCAAGGAAAGCGTTTTATAGTTGCAAATTGAATTTGCAAACGGGTAATAGTTCTTTAAATGAACACAATCACATTATAGAAGGATCGGATAGTCCCGCGTGTTTGATATTATTTCTCGTAAATTCCTCAAGTTCTTCTTGGTGATGGTCATAGTATACTGACCGGAAGCCAAGACGTCAAATTAATCAATTGAATTCCCATAAAAGCCACTTTCAGCGTTCCATATAAACGGCGTTTTCAAACTATGTTCCAATTTCCACGATATTGCAGAACACTATTTAATATCGTTTACCCTTACTGAATTTTACACCTTTGACGTTGCTTTTTACATGGGATTTATCAACATCGACTGCAATCCCAAAAGCCATGTCACATTGGCAAGCATATTCTGTTTAAAAACGTATGCTTTCATCAACTATTAATGAAGAACCTTGCTTGCACAATCATGTTTTTTTCTTCTGTGAAGAAATCGTCGAATCATTTTCAATTTCAACTTGCTCACCTGACCACACCCTCTCCCTATAAGACAACAGTCGAGTGTCGTACCACAATGAGGCATGGTCCA